TTTATTTTGTAAAGATGTTTGATGTAACTCGGATATCAATATATATCAATAAAGTCTTGCATCTGATGCCTTTTTACAATTAAAAAAAAAAAAATTATAGAATACTAATTTAAATTATATATACAATCTGATGAATAATCAAAATTATGCATATATATAAAAAGTTTATTATAAAATTATTTTAAAGTAAAAAATATATATCAATTAATAACTTTTAAATATTTAATAAAATTTATACTATTTTAAAGTCCTTATTGTAAGAAATCAAATGATAATAAAATTGCATAATTATAATTACTAGTTGTCAAGTTATGATTATTTAAATAATTTATAAAAATAATTATAATTTGATAATTAGTAATTAGAATTATCTGGTTTTACTACTATTAAATTTCCTGTAATAAAAGCTTTCAAATAGTATATATTTTATTAAATTTGATTGAATATTTAAAAAGTTTTTAATTAATATATATTTTTTACTTTTAAAGATTTTACAATAAACTTTTTATACATATAAATAATATTAATTATACATGTGGTTGTATTGTTGATCCTTACCATATGTGGTAATACTATTTTCAATTAAATACAATTCTTAATAAATTTATTATGTTTTTAATAGTAATACAATTTTTGAAAAATGTTTGAATTCAATTTTATCACATATATAATATTAATTATTCATATAATATAAAAGTGTTAATTAAAAATATAATTTTTAATTGAAAAAATAATTTTATAAAAAGAATAAAATATTTTTTATTAAGAAAAAAACTTTTTGTTATATTTACTTTATTGAATAAAATTTGTAAACTTTTTTAAAAAATTTTTTTATCCATTATTATATATTATCTTTTAAAATCTTATTATTTTAATATTATATATAACTATGGTCCTGAAAATTGGAATTGAACAAACTTGTATAGACTAATATAAGATTTGAAATACTATTAAAAATGATAATAGATTATAACTTATATATTAAATTTAAGCTTAAGAATAAAGAATCAAATTGAATCAAATTGTTAAAATTTTAATATATAACTATATATACAACTATTTCAAAAAAAATATTTTATTTTTTTAAAGTTTATGTTTTTTGTTTAATCTTTATAGTTTTTACATAATATGATATGTATTAAAAATTCTTTTTAATTTATATTCAAAATTTTTATAAAAATATTAAAATTAACTTGTTATTACTTGATAAAAGATATTTTTACCTCTATAAGAATGACTTATATTCATGTTATGAAATTTATTTAAAATTTTAATTTATATATTTATATATTATTGTAGTCTTTCTATATTAAGAAAATTGAATTTTTTTTTCATCAATATTCTAAATAAAAAATACAATTCAAATAAAATCAATTATTTTTTTTTTCAATTCCATAAAAAATCAATTCTTTAACTTGTTTGTAGAAAAGTTTATAACTTCTTTCAACATTTTTCAAAAAAAATAATAAATTTCAATTATTTATTTAGAACATTATACAAAATATGAAAGAAATGCTTAACAATTGTTATAATATTAATATTATTAGGAATTAAATAAAAAAAGGTCACAACTATTAGTACTACCAATATTAATCAACAAAATCCAAATACTTTTCAAAAAATATTTAATATTTTAAAAAATTTTAACAATCTTACTGATAAAAAATTTTTTACTCCAGTTATATATTATTATTTTAAATAAGCATTAGCCATTTAATACCTTTATTATGTAAATACCTACTTGATATTAATGCATATTAATTGATCAGTTGCAATAGGCTATAATTAATTTACTTATTTATAAGCTAAAATTGATAATGGAATGATAATAAATTAAAATCTAATAAATATTTCATATTTAATATCTGTTTGCAATTTTTTTTTTAAAAAATTAGCTTATCATTGTTAAAACCATTACTTTTATACAATACCAATTACATTTTATATCACAATACAACTTACCAAAACAATATAACAACTAATTGGATTGGGAAAATATATAATCAGTACTTTGCACAGATTTCAACTAAGATAAAAACAATATCAAACTATACAAACACAATAATACAACTTTCTCACATCATTTGCAAACCTGAAATTAACTATATGTAACTTTTACGATATTAACATTTGGTTGAGCTTATATATATATATTTAGGAACTATATTAAAGCGCTATACAGTATTACCTTTTTAATCATCTTTTATAACAAACGATTTTTATTTTTCAACTTAATTTAATAAACAAATAATTTCAATTTAATTGAGAATTAAATATATATATATATATATATATATATATATATTATATTACATACGTGTTGCGCGTGATTTTCCGGAACTGGATTTTAAGAAGCATCGTTAAATAAAAGGATTAAAAGAAAACAAAAAATAAACATAAAACATAAAATAATAATAAATGTATTAATTTATAAACATATGAATTTAAAATAAAAACAAATACTGTAGTGAAAGATTTATTATTAAAAAAAATAAAACCACGATTAATAAAATAAAATCAATAAAATAAAATAACAAATAGAATAATAATAAAAATAGAAATAGAATAATAAAAATAAATTGTATACAAATAAAAACGTAAACAAGTATCTCAACAATAGACAAAAATTGTGGAAATCAAGAACAGAACAAGAAATAATACATCAAAGATACAGCATTAACAAACTAATTAACATAGCTAATAATAACCGGATCAACTAGAATACGATATACTGTACACTTTGAAAATTAATTATACTAAGATTTTAAGTTTTACTAATGTTACTGCGTAAGGTATGTGGCGATACAACTATCCCCTTACTATAAGAACTGATAGAACGCTGACTAGTTAATTTAAGATATGTTCATGATATTCTGGCAACAAGACACACAATAAAGCAAAGGTTTTTTAGAGTACTGTATACACAATTTGTAATACCAAAAAAAAACTTCCAGTAAATAAGGCGTAAATCAACGTTAAAAAATTACCTTATATGGTTCTTTAAACTTAATGATTCTCGTATATTCCTTAGTTTCTGCATTGTAATACGATGACAAAAGAGATCGCCAGGTGATCAGATATGCATGGATCTGGGGCAAAGCAAAACTATACAGTACAATATAGTCAAATTACATCTTTTGATACACATAGTAAAGTATTTTACAATACGTATACCAAACAGACATCTTTACAATATCTTTCTCGGCATTGTAAGAGGAACGCGCAAACTTGTAATCACAGGATCATAAACAGTGCTCGGAGTTAGGTATGCACCGATAATACGTTATATTCAGATTACTCAATTAGGATACATATAATCTTTAATTTAATGTAACATAGATATGCAGTCAACTATGCGTTCTCTTTTGTCTATACTGTTTTCGAATTAGTCATTAAACCAACAAACTTATTTCTTTGATCAAATATCTTTTATAGAAATTCTCTTTGAACAATACTATTATAGGAAGTTAACTTGTAATAGGGAATGCATGCGTACTGGCTGAATGACTTCACGCAGACAGTGTACGTATATGATAAGAATATAATATTAGATGTGATTAATAAAAGTTTCATATGTCAACCGTTATAAGAAGATAAGGTTTTGATAATGAGTATTGTACTGCCCGAAAGCATAACTGGAATTGACAATGCAATTTGGTTTTATTATCGGTAAATATAGAAGCGCAGGGCTATGAATATTCATTATTATTTGAAAAAATAAAAGATCATTCTTTCTTAATAGATTTTGCGTTCAAAGTTTTTATTCGATAAGAGCAACTACAAATTAAGTATTTGATCCTTATGTTTATACCAAACAATATTAATTATTTGTCATGCTTTATAATGGATTTACTGAAAAAACTCCAAGTCAATTTCTTTCCATGATAACGGAGTTCGACTCTCGGACTTTCTTTCAACTTCCCGCTGTCTGTACTGAGGATCCAAATATTTAATATGTCAAATCATTCTTTATTTGGGCTAAAAATCTATAGGCATTACCTCTTTAATACCAACATTTTTAAATCCTTTATTATTTTTTACGGAAATTTAAAATTAATATCCGAATCTGTAAGAAGCCGCTGTTAGTTATTAATTGATATTCGAAGAATTAAACATTGCCGACTTTTTATTCGGTGGTAGATCTAAATCACTAGCCGTCTGTCCGTTGCCGTCGCCCACAAATATCATTGTGATAGAATATAAATAAATTCTTTCTGCTTCATTTAAAGTTAATTTGTAAAAATCATTTCGCAAATAAAAAACGATTCATTGCCATTAATTTACAATGAAAAAAACCACCAACCTTCAACATATCAGTAATAATATTGTGCGTCATATTAGAGTACCTTTTCCACCGCAAGTGACTGTTGATGAAATCGTCCAAAAACTTCTTGACAATGGTGTTGAAAATTACAACAAAACACCTAACTCGTTCATCATTTATAGAAAAGCCTACATTCACGAGGCTACAAAATTTGGTTTTTTGGGTGGGAATATTTCGAAGCTGGCTAAAGATGCCTGGGATAATGAGCCTGAACGTATCAAAAACTTTTATAGGGAAATGGAGAAGGATATTAAAGCCAAGTTCAAGAGAAGCGTACCACCACCGTTCTTTTTTTATACTCAAAGGAGTCAAAAAAGACCAAGACACACTAATTGTAAAGTTACTGCTGTTACCACAAAAGATGCTTTTCGCATTTCACAAAAGTCAACTTCTCACCCCCAAGCGATTGTTATCACCAGTCATTCTGTAGAATCTTTTTACACGCACCTGAATATTCATATGAATATATCGGATGAGGCCTTCATTAATTCTCTTTCTAATGATTTGGCTTTGACTTACAAAGCAATCATTGACTCTCTGTCTAGCCTACCGATCTAATGAGATTTTATTAACTTCAACGCCGTCTCGTTCTTCCTTTTACTGTACATCTAGTTGCCATATTTGGAAATTTTCCTATGCATACCTTTGTTTTTAAAGTAAAATTTCTGAGGGCTTCACACGTCAAACTTTATTAATGAATAGTGTATCGACGAATTGTCTATGTAAGGACAAAAAAACTCGCAAAAATATTAGTTTCTATATACAATAACGGAATTTTCAGAACCTCTGTTTATAGAATATACTGTATCTCTTAATTTATCAGTTTCCGATCGTTCATTGGCAAAACTCGAAATAAAATTGTTTTTTTTTGTATTTTTTTAGAAAAAAAAAATCTATTTATAATACACCATCTCGTCGAAAAATAGCTGTTATATAATAGCAATAAAATATAAATTCCAATGATTACATGTTATACTATTATTTTTTTTTAGGTCTTAATCGACCAACGATTATGTTTTATCTAACTTCGAAAGAATAATCGGTTTTAAATACTTAACTATTAATTTATTAATTATAGATGGAAATGTAGTAAAGATGTGAGGTCAAATGACTAACGCGAATGCAAAAAAAAGTTTTCTATTATAAAAGATAGAAAAACTATTGTGAAATAGAATAACGATCAATCATTTTTCTTCTTTAATGACAAATTGTGGGTTACAAAAAACTTTAACGAAGCAAACTATTGTAAGAGAGTAAAAAAAATAATTATGTTACCGGTATAGTGACATTATTCAATTGAAATATAATTGGGGCTTGAAGGATTTTTGGAAATTTTGGAATTTTGGAGATTTATTTAAGATACTGTATATAAAAGAGAGAAATGTACAAAGAGGAAAAATATAAAGTATCTTTTATCCACCTACTTACTACATTCCTCACCTACCTTATGTCACTCCAAACGTCTCTTTTAACATAATACGATCAGAAATAGTGACTCGACAACAGATTCGAAATTTTATTTCAACACTACTGATCCGACATTTACTCTACTATAACATTTTGATAGTTAATGAAATAAGTTTGGTTTTAAATGTAAAAATGATAAATTTTTATTTAATTAATTTTATAATTACATACTGTAAATATATATTAAAACTATCTAATTATAAAAAATATATACAATATTTTTATTTTTATATACTATATATGCAAAATTTATTTAAATTAGTTTTTTTTTTATAAAACCAAATATATCAATAAAAATCCATAAAAAATATTATTTCTAATAATCATTTACAATGTACTGCAAAATTTTGTTTGTTTTTTTTAAAAAAATATGTTTATTGTAAACTATTTTAATACAAAATAATATATTTATAGTGCTATTATCAAATATTTAACAGTTATCTTTAATTTATAAAATTATAATTGAAAAAAAACTAACTTGTTATATAGTTATAATTTAATTTAAATAAATTTTGAAAGTTTTGAAAAATAAAGTATTGTTTTTAATCAATATAAAATTTTTATAAAATAATAATAAAATATAAATTTTAATTATAATAACATAAATTAATATAAAAATCTTCTTTTTTAATTATATCTAAGTTTTAAAATTTTGTATTTATGATAATTCTAATCAAAAAATTTACTATTTCTTTTATTAAAAATAAATCTTTAGCTTGAAAACTCAAAATCTTAAAAATAACCAATATAATAATAATAAAATAGTTATAATAGTTTTTGTATTTTTATTTTTATTTTTACAATATTATAAATATTATTTATATTTTTACTTTAAAAAAATTATTAAATTTAATATTTGTTTTAATATAATTTTTTAAATAATTTTTTTTTAATAATACAATATATTATATATTATTATTTTTTTTAATATAGGAAAACTTTATTATTTTATTAACAGTAAAATTATTTAAACTTTACATACAGAAAGTAACAACATCTCTTATATAACTTAACAAGCTAATAAGTCTAATGCTAGTCTATCTATATATTATTATTTAAGTAGTAAAGAAAACAATTATTAAAACTATTACATGTCAAAGATAATACCAAATAACTAAGATATTAAGATCTTTACTCAGAAAAATTAATAGAGAAAAAAAAGAGAAAAAAAAATCAACTTAATACATATTAATAATTAATAAATAACTTTTTATATTACGACTTTAGATCACACAACTATGAATTTAGAAGAAATTAAAAATAGATATATATTTTTTAGTAAATATTCTGAAATTATAATCTTTGATTAATACTAATTACCAAATCTAGAGACTTTAAGGCCAAGTGAAAAGTAACTTCAAAATCTTCTAGTAAACACTTCAAAGGATTTAGTTGACTTAAACTGTCAAATCTAAAGATAAAAATACCAAGCAAAGTACAACTTATATATATATATTATTTTATTTAAAAGTCATAATAGTGTTATATATTAGTGTTTATATTGCTAATCTCTTTAAAGTTATAAATAAACTATTAACATGTAATGAATTGTTATTGTTATTGTTATAATTAGTTGTTATTATTATTATTTTTTAGGAGGAGGTTATCCTAGTAGGTAAATATCTTTTTTTATTTGGATTGTATATATCAAAGTATATATCATAAAAAAAACAATATCTCTTGAGTACATTGCATATAACAAGTTAAATGTTAGCTTGCTTACTTGTATCATATTTAACTAATATTGTAAAAAATTTCAAAAGCAATATTAAAATGTCAAATATGGAAATAGTGGCTATGCCTATCTATTCAAAAGGTTATTTGATAAAATCTTTTTTTTTTAATAAAAAAAATTGAGAAGAAAGAATTAAAACTAATTAAAACTAAAACTTTGTCAAGTAAATTATAAGATTTATAAGTAAAAAACCAATTATTTCCTCAAGAGAACCCCCAGACGGGCTTGTTATCTTATCTCTTCAGCTCTTCGGTTATTATAGATAATAGAGTACACATGATATTATTTGTTGTTAAAGTTGTTGTTATATACAAAACTGGTTGGAACTAGTACAGTTTTTGTTTTGATTTTTATGTAAAATCTGATTGAATTATTGGAGGGTATTGATTATCTGGAGAAGATAAACTGATTTTGGTTTTTTGTTTAAAAATTTTTGAACTTTTGAGATGGTGCAGCAAATATTATCATGAAAATATTGTATGTAAAGATTGACTTGAAGCAAACAGTAGACCCACTAACTCTATTTAAGTGTGTATTTTGGAAGGTATATAATTTAACGAATATAATATAGATAATTTTTATAATATAATAAGGATAAGGGGAATGCAAGAAAACTAAAGAAAAGAGAACTGCCACAAGTCTTTTGCATACAACTGAAGGATAAGCAAGACTTCCAAACTTGAATAAACTTCAACCAGAGATTACATCCTATTATATCAGTTGTCTTGAAGGTTTTTTAGTTCTTGAATTAGAGCTTACTTGTAATAAAGAGTGTAAAATATTTTTTCTTACTTAAAATTACCATAAAAGAAAAACTTTTAACAAAACATATGCAATTAGGAGAGAGTTTTTTTTTTATTTGTTGTTATTATTATTGTTATGATTTGTTATTATTATTATTATTATAGTTTATTATTGCTGTTATTATTATAATTTATTGTTATTGTTATTGTGATAATAATAATTAATGGTACAATTTTTATAAAATGTGATTTGAGAAAAAAAATTTATTGATCTTTAGAAGAATAAATTAATTTTATTTTTTTTGCATCTATATACTGTATGTAAGCAAGAAAAAAAGCAAATCAAAGGTGTTTTTATATAACTTTTATTATTAAGATATTCCATTCTTAATAAATTCAATTAAGAGTTTCATTTTTATTTAGCTTTGGTTTTCTTAATCAAACTCTTGAAGCTAGTTCATATATGAATTGTAATAAGTTTGTTGTATTGATTTTAATAGAGATAACTTTTTATTTTAAAAAAGAACAAACCAATCTTTTATTCAATAAGCCTAGGATTTGATTTTCTATATATAACACCTAAAACTACTTAACCTAAACCCTTAAATTATAGCAGGAAGGAGACAATCAATAGTTTTCTCTAAAAAAGAGTTTTTAGTTTTGATAGTAATAAAGGAAAAGAAAAAGTTTTTTTGAAGAAAAATTAACTTGACAAGTTTTTCCATTGTTTTGTTAAATTTTTCTAAAAAGAAGTTTTTAAAAAATTAAGAAAAACAGAAAAGAATTTTTCTTTATATTATATATTATTTAAAAAATATTATTATCTTTTATATTTACAAAAAATTAAAATTGATTTCTTTTTTTTTTATCTAATCAATATTTATTAATTGCTTAAATAAAATTAACAACTTTATTTAAATCAATTTATTTTATTATTATAAGAAAAAAACTAAAAATTGTTTATAAAAAAACTCCTTTTCACTTCTTTCTTATACTTGAAAAAATTTTTTTAAAAATTTTTTAAGTTGTTTTTTTTTTATTTTTTATTCTTTTCTATTATTCTTTTCTTTTTTTTTATCTTTTTTTTTCACTTTTTTTTTTTTTCTTCTTTTTTTCACAAACTATTTTTTTAATATTTTTTTTTATTTTCATTTCTTAATTATTAGAGTTAGGTTTTTTCTTTTCCCTAAAATTTTTTCTTTTTAGGTCTTTCTTTCTTTTAAACTGTTATTTTCTATTTCATTACTCTTCTAGCCAGTTGATTTTTTTTTCAAAAATTATATTAATAAGTAATAACATTTTTCAAATTGTAAACTTAAAAAATTTTTTTCTTCCATAATTTTTTAAATAATTTATCTTCTTCAAAAAATCAGTATAACTCAAGACTCTAAAAGGTATTGAATAATACCAATTTATAATAAATTTAATATATAAATTGTAACCTATTCATATAAATTTGTAATAAATTTAAGTATTGAACAGATATTGAAGTATTATTAAAATAATATTGTTAGAAGTCCTAGTATAATCATTATTATTATATTTGATATTATTTACTTTTTAATAGTTAGACTAGATACTGTATATCTAAAAAAAAACTATATAACTATTGT